CCAGCCAAAAAGCCATGGGTGCGCTTGAGACCCACAGCCATTCCTCACGCCCCAGTCCCAACATCCGACCCATCAGCAGCCTGGGCAGCCATCCTCCAGGTCCACAGACTGTCCCTACCTCACCTGGTGCCAGCAGTGGTTGCGGGGCCTCCAGCTTCTATTCCCCGCCCCCCCAGCACTGAAGTCAAAGTGAGCTCTGTAGGGACCCGTCACACCCACTTTAATCCCGCCAACAGCTTCCTTTCCAAACTCCCCAAGGAGGGAGGCCTGCCCCCTAAAAGTTTCACCATTTTTCTTCTTTCTGCTCCTACTAGGCACTCACTGCCCCCCACCCCTCACACTGCACAGCAGGAATCACCTTAACTGCCACCAACTCAGCACGTCTTCCCTGCCCCTCCCCACTGTCCCCACTCCTGACTGGGTCCTTCACCACACTCTTGTAACATCTCAACTTCCTCTGTAAAAGTTTAATAACAGAAAGGTAGTGCACCTGAAATAAGGTGGTAAATCGCTGCACAAGGGAACCATCGGGTGTAGTCACCAGGTTTATTACTGTTGTCTCCCCCAGTGCTGGGTCCCTGACACCCACAGCAGGACCGGGCCCTCCAGCTGACGATGTTCTCCCGGCCTGGCAGCCTCTCCCCACTCCCCCTGAACTCCCACCGCCCCTTGAGGTCCGAGGGAACCTGTGCCTGACAGCCGTGCCCCAACCCCAGGTCAGGCACTAATTAAACGCTCCCATGGCAACCAGGGCTGTCTCACCACACTGAAGTGCGCCCCTCCCTGCCTCCCTGTCCCGTTCCCACACTCACCAGGGCCCTCGATGGTGACCTGCAGGTCGGTGAGGTCCTCTTCATTGGGAAAGACCTTGATGCCATCGGGAGGATCCGTGGTCAGCGTGGTCACCTCCTTGTACACCAGGCGGATGATGTGGGGGGGCAGGTTCTCCACGTTGGAGTTCTGGGCACAGAGAGAAGGTGAGTGGCCGGGTGGCGGTGCTGGGCCCCCTGCAGGATGCTGTGGCTGCTCCAGTCTGGACGCTGATGTCCCAGGCGGCCAACCACCCCTGGGCTCGCAGACCCCCGCCCTAGGATGCTGCACACGGCGGTCTCAGGCCGAGAACCCACCAGACACGACGGCGGTTCTCCGCGGGAACTGGCGAATGGCTCCACCCTCCCCAGGAGCCCCCAAAGCCCGCTCTCAGGGCCGCCAATGATTCCGCGTTAGGCCGAGGCCTACCTGGGTCCCCTTCCCCGCCTAATCGTGTTAAAACAATCCTGCAAACCCCGGCTCGGGCCTGGAGATGGCGGCGGAGCGTCCTTGCTCCCGAAACACCCACAGACCGGCCACAAAGACCCGCCAGCACCCCCCCCCC